CATTGGCTGTCATACGGGGGCCACCTCAGCAGCATATAAGGATACAGAGCCCACCATTTTCTCCAGGGAAACTGATCTCTGCCATCTGGAAAGCAGTTGTAATTCTGAGTGATCTCCAGCCCACACCTGGAGATTGGACACATTTAACCTCAGAACAGCAAACTGTTTAGAATGTTAGAGGCAAAAGCCAATCAAGTCGCATATGCAAAGGATCTCTGTGGTCGAGGCAAAGGCCAATGAGGCTGCATATGCAAATAACCTCTGTGTTCTGACTGACTATGGGGGGGGGGAGGAACAGCAAATTGTTTAGAATGTTGGAGGCAAGACTCAAGCAATGCAGCCAGTGGATAGGGACAGATTCTGAGTGACACGCCAGGGCGCCAACCAATTCTGGAGCGTGTGGAATGTTCTAGAGAAGTGCCACCACCATTCAGCTTTTATATATAAGGAAGATTATTGTCACTCTTCTGCTATGCTGTTAGCTGCCCGAGTCCAACTCTGGGAGAGCGGTGGGATAAAAATCTAATAAAATATATAAAAATAAAATATACCATATATTTATTATTAGTTTTTTCCTTCACAGGATCTTCGGATCTTTTTTTTTGGGACAGTCCAAGTAAAGTAGGACAACCAGCTAATTTTACTAATGGGACTCAGTTTATGAGAGGTCCTAAATCTGGAACATCTGCCTTTTTAACGCACGAAAGACTTAAAAGTCGTGACTTTATTAAAGAGGACAGTGTTTTCATTTTAACAACAGTGGAAGGTATGTGGGTCTTTGTATGAGCCTGTTCTTCTGTGCTGTAAAGTAACTTTTACTTTAGAATCAAGTACCTTAAATTAAGCACCAGCTGCCCCATGATAGTTAATGTAGTAGACTTAAGACTGATAGCTCAGTCTCCTGCCTCTCTTCTGCATCTCCTCCCCCTCAGTTTAGAAGACACTACTTAGACAAAGGTAAGGTACCTACTTAAATGTGTGAAGTCCTGTCTAGGATGTCTTAGCCTTTGCCATCCACCAGAGGTCCAAGAGCCACTAGAAGGTTGCATCTCTTGTCTCAGGAATGTCACTATGGCAAGGGGAAGACTAGCCTTATGTCCTGCAAGGAAGCTCCTCAAGACAGAATGCCACTCCAGCTTCCAAATGCCCTGTAACTGATGATAGGGTTACCAGTCCCCAGGTGGGAGCGGGGAATCCCGATTTCATGGGTTCCAGCCCATTGCCAGCCAGCTGGCTAGGAGAAGCCCCACCCCCAACAGCCATGGCCGGCATGACGTCCCCGGTGTGATGTTGTCACATGGTTTTGCCCAAAATACCAGAGTATTGCCTAGTGACATCCCTGGCATGATGACATCACTTCTGCGTGACATTATCATACAGGGGACATCACATACAATGTTGCCCTGCCCCCCCTCCCAGGAAGCTCCCTCCCACCCTCGCTGGCAGAAGAAAAGGACCTGGCTACCGTAGCTTATGATATGAAAGGATTATGTTAACCTGTATTATTGTGCTGATTTGTTACTATACCTTGAAGATATCAAGAAGTGGAGTGTTCATGTGTTTTTTAAATCCCCAAATTTTCTATTAGTTCTTTGTTGTAGCTGCCATATACTGGATCTTTTGACTCTTCCTCTTTGGTTTAACAGAGGAAGCTAGTTTGTATTTTACCCAGTTAAAATTCAAAGGAAATAAATCAAAATGGGATACCTTCCTCTACTTCTTTTGTGTCTTGGTAAGAAAACATGGCGGCTGGGGGGGACAGTACATAGATAGGTTTCCAGCTGTTGACAACAGAAGCTTAAGGAAAGAACAAGGTGCTAAATACAATCGGAGCCAGTGTGGTGTAGTGGGAAAACTGTCAGATTATAATCTGGGACACCCAGGTTTGAAGCTTCACTATGCCATGAACGCTTGCTGCTAGGTGTCCTTGGGCCAGTCATAAATTTTCAGCCTAACCTACCTCACAGGGCTGTCATGATGATAAAATTGAGAAAGGGGAGAATGTTGTAAGACACTTTGGATCTCCATAGGGGAGAAAAATGGAATATAAATGAAGTAAATACATAAAAATGATCAATGTGAAGCTCCTGCATCAAGTCTATGCTTGTTTTCAGTGTATCCCACCAACCAAATACCTGTTTTTAAGAAAGTTCAAATTAATGTTTTTTAAAGATCTATATACATAATTTGTCATATTTTTAATTATTTCAGTTCTTTGATTTAAAAAAGCTTTTGCAATGACACTTTTAAAAGAAAGTGATTTTCACAGCAATATGTTTAAATGTACACTTGCTAAATAGTCAAACCCAAAGCTTGTAAACTGAATACCACAACGAAGATACAGTACAATAACTGAAGCTATATTTCATTTGTTTTCCTTAGATATATCCCATTTATTATTTACGGAGCCAAATTTTACAACCACAACTACTGCAGCAGTTAGCAATGCTTCAGCTACAAAACCATCAACTACAACCACAACTACTGCAGCAGTTAGCAATGCTTCAGCTACAAAACAATCAACTATTATGCCCAGCACTGCTAGTGTTTGTGACACTTATGGTTGTCAAAATGATGGGATCTGCATTGTTGTAGATGGAAACCCAGTTTGTAGGTAACTGATTTATATAGTTTCTCATCTTTAGTTAATGCACAGTTATTCCTGAGCCTGATGCTAAGTTTCAAGCCTCAGTTTTGCAATATTCTGTATTTGTCATTAATAGTCTCCTGTCTCATTTAGTTCCTTTTGTAGCAGTATGCAGCTGGGGTTCTATGTAAAAACTTGCCATGCTGCTAAATCAACTATTTAGTACTAACATACCTTTGTCAGTTTCCCTTTTGTCGGCTGTGGAACTGAGGAAGGTGTGCAGCAGAAAATCCTTCAGGAATTGAGTCTGTGACAAGAAGGTGAGAGGGGCTGTGGCTAAGGTCACAGGGCTAACAAAGACCTTTGCCTGAAACCGTATAGAGCTTGCGTCTGTTGTAGTAGACACTATTGTGCTAAACAGATCAGTAATATGGGATGGGTTTAAGAATTAATGTAAGAGACAGAGGCCTGTGGGATTGGAAGGGAATCCACTGGATCACCCAGTCCAAACTCTGTTCCTGAACTAGGACATTCACATCCAAGATTCTTCAGCATATACATGCCTGACCTTTCCAAAAAGCTCCTTCATAGCAGGTTTTCATTTGGTCACGACCAGAGCACTGAGGCCATCTTTTCCCAATGTATCAATATATCTGTTTCTCAGCATGGCAGAATCTGTGGCTACTTAAATCCAGAATCTGGAGCCATGAACAGACAAGACAGACCTTTCTACAAACCTTAGAAAAGTCCCAGGTTTTCAGATACGTACAGACAGAAAGACAGATATATCAGCCTAATCTACCTCACAGGGTTGTTGTGAGGATAAAATGGAGAGAGCAGAATTATGTAAGCTGTTTTGGGCCCCATTGTGGAGAAATGGGTGGTATAAATGAATTAAATAAATAATAAATATAGTTTAAGAGGGGGAGAATAGGTAAAAGGTTGGTGGGAGGGTGGGTAGGAGAAAGCAAACAAAACAGAGAAAATGGAGGACATGAGTGTTGCCAGGAGAAGGAAAAGAGGAAATAGTGAGGGGAAGGGGATACAGGGGAAAGTGAGGCCCCCCCCCAAGTCCTTCTGGGTTCCTCACCAGGCCACTGAGCCTGGCAGCCAGCACCATGTGAAGTTTTCTAGGGGAGAATTTGCCTGGGGGTGGGAATGATGGAAAGCTGAAGTCAGGAGGGGAAACAGATAAAGGTATGTTGACTTGTTGGGTGGAAGGGGAGAAGGAAGCTGGGAAAGGGAGGAGGGTATGGGGGCTTTCAGGGAAGGGAAAGAAAAAATAGTGGGGGAGGGGAAACTGAGATGTCAAGTCCTTGTTGATCCCCTGTTCATGTATGTGTGTGTATTATAACCTAGTTATAAACTAATTCTCATGTTACATGCATAGTTATTAAAGGATTTAGCTAGGTGCTTCCTTATTAAAAAAAATCTGAAGCTCAAAATTTGGCTATCTTAAAGGTGGTTTCCTTAGAGTGATCCAAAAAGAGAAGGAACATATGAAACATTTGATCTACCTGAAAAATTGGATAGAATTGGCGTGTTGTATAAGGAGCAAATGTCCTTCTAAAGTGAAAATACAATAGCTCATGTTTAACTGTTTCCACTGCATTTGATTGGCAAGGACAAACATGTTGAGAATAAGGGTTGCTGAAACCCCCTAGAGCAGGGGTGTCAAACTCATTTGTTATGAGGGCCAGATTTGACATAAATGAGACCTTGTTGGGCCGGGCCATGTGTGTCATAAAATGTAATGCCAGGTAGTGGAGATATAAACTTTATAAAGGACACAAACACAAAGGGTTTTTTTTACTTAAAATAAAAACAGGCTTAAAACATTAGCACTCTTGCAATATTTTGTTTATTTAACAGTATCTGATAACTGACACCTCTTGCTCTGAATTATTGCATCAAAATGCCTGTGCTGCTGCAATCTTGAGTATGCTGTTCAGGTGTATAACTGTAAGCTGCAAACCTACAATGATGCAGCAGCAGCAGAACTGGAAGAAAAAGCAGAAGAAAGCCAGTTCCACTGCGGGCCTGAGGCCCTTTGGGAGCCTGATCTGGCCCCTGGGCCGCATGTTTGACACCCCTGGGCCGCATGTTTGAACCAGGAGAAGAATACTGTGGGGATCCTATTTGTTTCTCCTATGATTCTTCATGGACCCATTAGGTCTGTAACATTAACTGAAAATATGAAGGAATATAGTCGAAATGCCTTGATGACAATGTCACCTTCAAGACAATATCAGCTATGCACAATATTTTACAAGTTTGAGCATTGCATTATGTATAACAGATCAAGACATCCTTGTTCACTTTCTATTTGTGTTGCTTACTTGCTTGCCATGCTTTGCAGGTGTCCTGCAGGTACTGACTCGTGGTACATGGGAGAAAAATGTGAAACAGAAGGATCAACTAAGGACGTTGTTGTTATAGCAGTTTCCTCAACTCTTTCCGCATTTGCCATTATGCTGATTGTCACTGTTGTTTCCATCAGCTGTATTAAAAAGAAATATCGTAAGCAACTGAAAGCTAGTACAGACCAGGAATTACAAAATGTAAGTAGTCTGCTTGGGACAGTGGCTGTATTCAGATATTACAATAAAGCATGGTTTGCTTAAACTCTAGTTAGTTGTGACACCTGAATGCAAACAATCCAACAAAGTGAGGTTTATTTTAAAAAATGGTGCTTGTGGTAAATCAGCTCCTTAAGGTATCCCCAAGTTCTGCCAACTGACTCATTCGCTAAGAGCCCAAGTTATCAACCCTTGCCTTTGGACAGTTTACTTATCCTGCCTTATTCCATCACTCCCCAACACAGACAAGGTGATTATATATATAGTTTATTTTTAGAAGACAGATAATATAAAGAAAATACAGAAAAGGGAAAAAAAATGTAGCATAAACATAAAATAAAAAACATTTCTCCCCAATGCCCCCTTTATTACATTAATGAATTTTTGAAACACTGTCTATAAGGTGCAATAAAATTACTTCTGTTGGGATACATTTATATTCAACATTTTGCACTTCGTCTTTTGTAACTAGTCTGTTTCTCAAGTAAGTTATTAGTTTCACCATTATTTTTGGCAGGGTTCTTTGGTGTGTGTGTGTTTTTTTTAAAAAAGAGGTGCCGGAACTCTCAAGAGGGAAATGAAGTTTTCAATCTGTATACTGAAAACTCATGAACTTTTAAACATTTTTAAAAGAATTTTGTCGAAGAGGTTCTGAAACTCTTGGCAAATAGGTAATATAAAGAAAATACAGAAAGATGAAGATAATTATATATCATAGAACAGATAATAGAAAAGATTTCTCCCCAACACCCCCTTCATTACACTTTTTTAAAAAAAACACTGTATGTTGAATATGGTAAAAATAACTTGAGTTGGGATACATTTATATTCAGCATTTTACATTTAAGACTGTAAAACTGTAATACATTTGTATATAATATTTTAAACTACTTCTCATTCTAAATTTATCTCCTGCTTCTATACATATAATACACACTCCATCTCTCCTTGAATTTCATAACTGATCTATTTCTCAAATAAGTTGTTAATTTTGCCATCACTGCATATTGGGCAAGTTTATATTTCCACTCTTCTAATCGTGGGCAAATGTCAGCTTTTAATTTTGCTGCATAAATAATTCTAGCTGCTGTCACCGTATATCTGCATATCTCTTCCAAAAAATTTGGCAAATTGTTAGCCAATATACCTAATAACATATTCTTGGCTTCCATGGGAAATTTGATATTCTTTATTTTTCCATGTATTTCTTTCCAGTATCTTTTTGCTTTTTTACATGTCCACCACATTTGAAAGAAGGTTCTGTCTATGTCTTGTCATTTCCAACATTTTCCTTTATAGGTTTTTTCCTCTACTTTCTCTATATTCTTTGGAATATCTCTTTGGATTCTTTGAAAAATCTCTGGAAAAGATTTTGTACCAATTTTCTCTTAATGCCTGGCAGGCTGTAAACGTGATATCTCTTCCCCATAACCATTCCCATTGATGCATAGTTATCTGTTCTTTAAGGTTCTGCATACATTTAAGTCATACATGTTTTCACTTGTTCTTCTTCTGTTTCTAACAGTAACTTATAAATCCACTGTAATAAACACTCTTTTTGTTTTGTGATCAGCTGATCAAACTCAGTAATCTCTCTTAAGGCTCCACCTTCGGTGTTAATGATCTTCTTTTGTCTTGAAGTTGATTGATGATATAACAATCATTGAATGTTTATTCCTTCATCCCTAATATCTTGCCATGACTTGAATTTTCTCTGAGAATTTATCATGATCCTGTACATTAGAAAATCATTTTTATTTCATATCATATTATTTCAAATCATATTATTTCAAAGTAGGCCTCTATTGGGGACATAAGCGGAGAATTTGGAGGACTCAATAGATTCTGGTGTGTGAATTTTGCCCAGGGGACTGGTGGCAACTATACATTCTGTGCTCTTTATAATATCCTCTTCTTGTTGCATTAAAAATTCTGGTTCACATTTGCACACACTGAGGAAATACAGCTACAGCCAAGGACAGAATATCGGTTCAAAGATATCAAAGTGCTGGCTCCTTATGATATACAGGCCTGTCTTTCGTTCTTGATTTGGAGCCTCAGCCTGTAGTGAATTATTTAAAACCTGCCTGCCTCCCACCAAGAAAATACAGTTTACTTTTTATGTGTGTGCAACATGGTTTTGACAACTGAAGAAGGCCCTTAGGGCCGAAATGCTTCTGGCTTAGTCCATTGTTGACATAAGAACATAAGAGAAGCCAATGTTGGATCAGGCCAGTGACCCATATAGTCCAACACTCTGTCACACAGTGGCCAAAAATACCAGATGCCATCAGGAGGTCCAGCAGTGGGGCCAGGACACTAGAAGCCCTCCCACTGTTGCCCCCCCAAGCACCAAGAATAAAGAGCATCACTTGTCCCAGCCTGAGAGTTCCTATCTATACCTTGTGGCTAATAGCCACTGATGGACTTCTGCTCCATATGCTTATCTAATTCCCTCTTGAAGCTGACATCCTGTTATCACTGTACATGCAACTCCAGTTGGTTGCTGTATATGACATTTTTATTCTCTATGTATGTATGGTTTTTAACTTTGACCATATATATATATGCTCTTGCTACTCAAGCTCTTTAGTACCTAACTTGATTTTTCATGTTGGGTTTGTTTCCCTTTTGTTGCATCCCCATTCCTGCCACTAACCAGGGCTCATACACTTTTAGTTTTGACAGCTTCTTTGATCAGCACCCCTCACAACTGATAATACAGTTTCAATGTCTCATTGGTCTAATGGCCTCAGTAACAGTAGTCATGTTCAGGACACTCCATGTGTACCCAGTATATTGTGTATTCCTCCACCCTTCCAGGATTCATCAATACTTTGTTCTTACTCTACCTGCTTCCATCCTTGACTTACTCCAAACTCTTAGCCTGATATACAGTGCCTTCTTCGACTATCTATATTCAAACACTACAGATATCACAGATATGACCCTGCTAGGGCTGGGGAGCTCACTGCAGAGACTTCTCAGTCAGTGACTGTGACTTTCAGATCTCCTGGGGATGATTGTCAAACTTCCTTGAACTTCAGGTTGTGTGGAACATACTAGTCTTGTTCCATTTCCAACGAAACTGCAAATAGCTATTTGCAGAGTGGTAACACAATTTTACCTAAACAGGCACAGCCTCCCCCATGTTCACAAGTGGCCCATCGAGCTGTGCTACCTCGATCAAATCCACCCCTGTACAAAACAGTGCTTGTTTTACTGAAGCAAAGGTGGCACTGGGAGAGGATCCACTGATTATGCTTTTCTCCATCACAGGGAGGCTAAGTCTTGTATGCTTTTCTTCCACTACCTGAACTCACCTAAGTCCTTCAGAAGCTCATGGCAGACAAAGCCAACCAGCCTCGTCAGACATGATTCATACTCCTTCTTTCCTCCTTCCCTAGTGATTTTTGCATCCACCACTTCCAGACCTTCCGCAACAATGCTATAGCAAGACTCTCCATCATGACTCTGTAGTACGGAAACTGAGAGTCCCTACCTATCTTGACCTCAGTGATTTGTGAGATTCTCCTCAATTCTCACAAAGTTTCTGTAAAAAGGTTCTGGAAGACCAAATGGGTGGGGAACACCTTTCAGAGTGTCAAGATCTGAATCCCATTTTATTCCTGACATCCTGGAATATATTCTCAGATTACACAAATCTGATTCTTTCCTTTAACCCTGTTTGGTGTTTTTTTTTGGTGGTGTAATACTTGTCAGAAATGAGGGATACACCATTCATGGCTTTTCACCAGAGTTAACTTGTACTTTACTTATCTAGGTATACGTTATCTTACTTTCTTACCACAACTCATCTCTGCTCTTTATGTATAACAAAATGTCATTTTACCTGTCTTTTTTCTTGAGAACACTTCATCTGGATATGAAGTGAGAACTTTTTCTATATCCACTGAACTAAAGTTTTTCTGGAAGAACAGCAACCTCTTACTTTGCTACAGCAGCCCAAAAGAGGACAGTAGAGTTACTGTTCCAGGGAATGACATTCTCCCTTGTCATGTGCTAGCAACTGGTGAAATGCACTCAGTGGGAATTATTACTGCATACTTTGCCTTCCTCAATGGTGTGACCCTTCACAGGATTTGTAGAGTTGCCATGTCAGTGTCCACTTCCTCTTTGGTCTCCCACTGCGCCCTTGACATATGGTCAACATGAGACTCAGTACGGGGCCAGGATGTATTTCAAATAATAGTTTCTTTAAGACATGACCCATCTTCAGGTAGGTCAGCTTGCTAACTTGCTACATGATGGCCACAACAAAGAAGAACAGGTTGCTCTTCTCTAACTGCTTTGAATAGTCATCCTTCCCTGCTACAGGCCCCTCAGTCCTTACTTTGATGATGGCACCAAGTATGTAGTCAGTAGAAATTGGACAGGATGGCACTTTCCCCTCACTTTCAGTACAGAAAAACAGAATTCAGTGCAGAGAAGTAAAACCTTCTCAAGGGTGGAGATTTAAGGGCCAATTTATGAATTACAGCTGTAGAATTTTCCAGGGTTATTTTTGTGGCAATGCAGAGCCCATGTGTGAATACATTAATGATCATTCAATAGTTATAAGAACACAACCTGTTTTATTTTGTTATCTTTAAGGATTTTTCATTGTGGCATGGACTTTCATGAACTGGAGCCCGTTTTACCAGATGTACATAAGCTCTTACCACAATGATTCTATACCTCATTAAAATGGCCACAAGACCCCTAGTTATTGTTACTGTATAAAGATTTCACAGTTACCTCTCCATTATAAAGTATCAATTGAATATTAACTTAGGCTGGTTTTATGTATTCAGTGTAACTATATTCCGTGCATAGTAATACAGTGATCAAATAATTTCTTCAGCAGATAAGTGAAGTTTTTATTTAATGCCCATGATTCATAAAACATATTTTCTTCTACAGAGAACATCATTCTGAAGATGGTAAAAGTTTGGAATCCAAAACAGATGACATCAATTAAGCTACTTTGAGGACTTATTCACAAAATTATGTCTTTCTTCCTTTTTCTTCAAAGCTAGATAATA